AAACAACTAAGAGTTAACAACTAATTTATCAAACATTTTTCTATAACCAACTAATACTGATGAAACAATAGAACATTCAATGATGAAGACCTCAACCTCCAGAGGAAGGTGGCTTGGATCAAGGAAGCTTTAGAGGAAATCAGTCGTGCGTTTGCGAGAGAGGAAAGCATGAAAGGAAATATGGTCATGGAGAAGATGATTAAACTCAGATGGAGACCTTCAGAAACCCACCGGTTCACGATCAACGTTGATGGGAGTGTAAAGGCTTCCATTAATAAAGCTGGGATTGGAGGAGTTTTAAGATACCACAAAGGCAACTAGATTGAGGGCTTCACTTGCAGTCTTGAATGGAGGCCAAGGCTATTACAAGGAGCATGCAATGGGCTTGGCACAAAGGCATTCGGGACGTGGAGGTGCAATCGGACGCAAGAACGGTGGTGGAATGGATCCGAAACAACACCACACTTTGGGGTCCTATTCGAGAAACTATCGAGGAGGCCAGAAGCGGGGTAGAGAGGGATTGGAAGATCTCTATTTGTGCGGTTTATCGTGAGCAGAACAGAGTTGCTGATTCCCTAGCCAACATTGGGGCCCTTCTACAGGAGGAATGTGCAACTTTCAGTTCGTGCCCATCCTACAACGAGGAGGCTCATCTTATGGATTTGAGTCGTATGATTTGTGATCACAGAGTTAGAGAAAGCACTAGCTCTTGAGGAACCCCGGGTTCCCCCGGTCCCCCATGAACCAAAAATACTATCAATTGGTCAAAACAAGTAACAACCACCACTAGATTAACAACCACCACTAGATTTTATATTTATGTCACTTGATTTAACACCCATATCATTAAATTAAATTAAATATAAAGATATAACTCTTCCATTTTTACCACAAAAAATTAATAATAAAATACCACTGGTAGGCAAATAATGTTATCCTTATCATTGCAATGCAATACTCTCCCACTTCAAAAGTGAATTCTACTTTTACATCATCAACTTTACAATTCCTTCACTATTTTCCTGCTACATCCCTACAATACTCTCTCACTCTAAAGAACGATTCCACTTTCAAAATATATATATATATATATATATATATATATATATATATATATATATATATATATATATATATATATAAAGTTTTAAAAAAAAGTACAAGAAAGCAGGCAGCTTTTCTTGTCATTCGCAATGTCCTTTGCAAGCTTTCTAAAAAACAAAAACTTGCAAGACATATGTAAGGCTATCTTTATCCTTGTAATACTCTCTCACTTTCAAAAATGGATTTCACTCCCACATCATCAAATTTATAATTTTTCCATTATTTTCTCTACATTCTTGCAATATTCACTCACTTTTATATTATATTATAAATATAATAATAAAATAACTAATAAAAAATAAAATAAAAAATAATGGCGCGACAGCTTTTGTTGCCAAATGACAGCGAAAGCAGCCATTAGCAAACTTGCAAAAATAGCAAGTTTGCTAGCCACAGTGAATTTAAAACAAAAGAAACAATACTTTTTTTTTTTTATTTTCACATCATCTTGCAAGTCCAACATTGGTTGGGTTGACGACAACTTAAGCAACAAAAATAAATTAAAAATTTATTTTACAGAAAAGCATGCCACATCATCTTACAATTGGTAAAATTTCTATGGATATTATAAAGAAAATTTGATTGATTTCAAGATAAAAATCTTTATATTTATTAATCAAAAAAATTTAGCCCCTCAATGTCGTTTACTAGTCTTTTTAATCAATAATTTTCTTTTTATTGTTACAATATAACCCATAACTTTTCAAAAATGTTGTAGTGCTAATTTTTAGAGCAACAAAATTGTTAAATTCTATTGATAATAGTGCTACTAAAGTTCTATTCTAACCCATAACATTCATCCATTCATAAATAAATAAATAAAATATGTAGTAATGGTTTGAAAAAAAAAAAGACATGATAATGATGCATTTGAATCATTACATCTCAATACTTAAATCTAATATTAAAAAGAAAAAATTGCTACAAAGCTACGCTTCAAAAGAAGACAAATGCTTCTTAATAGTTTTTTTTTTTTTTCTTTTTTTGTAAAACAAAATGTACAAGTATAATCATAATATTAAGATATAATTATTTATCATTATAGATTTATAGTTGGCCTAGAAAATCAAATTAAACATTAAATTGCCTTAGGTCAACTTTTTCAATATGGAATATATTGTATATAAAACAAAAATGTGTAGTGTAAGTATATGAACATAGATTTTTAGTTGAGACGGAACAATATTATTCCATTTGATATTAAAGTCACCTATGCACGGACGGAGCCAAGAATTTTGTTGAGGGGGGGGGGGGGGGGGGGGAAATAGGGACGGATTCACGAATTTTTTAAGTAAAGGCGAAACATTAAAATAAAAGAGATATTTACAAATAAATAAATAAATTACCTAAGAAATATAGGTGTAAATATTATTGGATATGGGTGAAAAATAAAACAAATCGAAACTTTATAAAAATATTCATAACAAAATATAAAATATAATTAATTTGATAAAATAATTTGAATATATATATATATATATATATATATATATATATATATATATATATATATATATAAAAACATAATAAGTCTCAATCAAAGTTATATCCCTCATTTATGTTCATATTTTTAATGCTAATCATTTTGTACATTGTGCTTTTAGAGTTGTACTATACAATTTTTTGGACAAAAATACCCTTACCGTTATAACTTCCGTTATCTTTTCCGTTACTTACCATGCACATGAATCTACCATATCTTTTCTTATATTCTTTAATTATAACAATATTTGTAAAACATTATATATTCATTATATATTAGATTAATATAATAAATAAATTTTATTTCACTTTGATTTTAATTAGTAAAAATTTGTTAGTTATTTTTAAAAATATAAATATTGGGCATATGTTTTTGCGCATCGCACATAGAAAAGACTAGTATATATATATATATATATATATATATATATATATATATATATATGTATGTATGTATGTATGTATGTATGTATGTATGTATGTATGTATGTATGTATGTATGTATGTGTGTATCAAATATTAAAAAAACTATTAAAACGTGATTGTGTTAAAGTCATAGGAAAGGAGCCAAAAAACTATATGATTCGAACGCCTAACATTTATTATAACTAAATACATGCTCTACCAACTAATCTAACTCATTTCTTATGAACAATTAACAGTTTTTATATACTAATACTCAAAAATGTACTATATATACATATATACATACAAAAATTATATATGGGATAGGGGTAGGGGTGGGGGTGGGGTAAGGGGGGGCAGCTGACCCCCCTGCCCCCCATTTGGCTCCGTCTATGCACCTATGTATAGTACAAGATCATAGAATGAGAATTGAATAATGTTATTTAAAAACTAGACTCGAATGAATTAATTTTATCTCAAATAAATTAGTCTTATCTGGTGATACGAACATTTATAAAAATTATTAATGCCCCAAAAAAATGACAAGTAGATAGAACATGGCCCTAGTAGTAGAAAGTAATGAGTTCGAATATTAAACAATCTTTCAATCAAATTTGTCTTTATTCAAAACAGTAATTACAAATTTTTCTCGATACTCGAAAATTATTATAGTACCAGAACTCCAGAAGCATATGAATACTATTATGAGTTTTTTGCACTTTTAGTCCCACGACTATAGTGGCACTGGCAGAATTGATCCACGACTTTTGAACCTTACAATTTTAGTCCACGATTATTGATTTTTTTGCAAAAATGGTCCTTCCGGCCACTTTTCCGTCAAAATTTCACCGGAAAAAAAAATTCTCTATTTTTAGTCGGGTTAAAATTGACATTTTACTTATCTCAAAAAATTAAAAGAAAAAAATTGATATTTGACTACATACAATATTACTGGGCTACATACTACTGCCCCAGGCAGCGGAGTACATGTACCACTCCAATGCTGCTGCCGGATAACCCAACTAGCCCGGGGAACGCCATGCCGCTCCGCCGCTTACTAACAGCCCTGCCTGCTCCAGGAACTCCACCGCCTGGGGCAGTAGTATGTAGCCCAGTAATATTGTATGTAGTCAAATATCAATTTTTTTCTTTTAATTTTTTGAGATAAGTAAAATGTCAATTTTAACCTGGCTAAAAATGGAGAATTTTTTTTTTCCGGTGGAATTTTGACGGAAAAGTGGCCGGAAGGACCATTTTTGCAAAAAAATCAATAGTCGTGGACTAAAATTGCAAGGTTCAAAAGTCATGGATTAATTCTGCCAGTGCCACTATAGTCGTGGGACTAAAAGTGCAAAAAACTCATACTATTATTATCAAACACTATTTCAATTAAGTCTATCTTTATCAGGAGCAGTGATTGTGAATTTATCTCACCACTAAAAAAATTATTATAGATACAAATGCACAACATAAATAAGGAAAATCGAATAGTTATGCTGTGCATATTTATGCACCATGTATGGTGCATACAGATGCAAAAACGACGTCGTTTTATTAAAAACGCGCGTCTCCCCTTTAAAAAAAATTCAAGTTCGATTCCTAGTAACAACATTATTTTGTTCATTCATTATGGAATTTTAGTTCATGGATTATGGAATTATAGTTCATCGATTATGGAACTATAGTTCATCGATTCTGGAATTATAGTTCATCGATTCTGAAATTTTAGTTCATAGATTCTGGAATTTTAGTTCATTCATTCTGAAAATTTTAGTTCATAGATTAGATTATGAAATTATAGTTCATCAATTATGGAATTATAGTTCATCGATTATGGAATTATAGTTTCGAACCTAATTTTTTTTTAAGGGGAGACGCGCGTTTTATAAAAACGACGTCGTTTTTGCATCCGTATGCACCATGCTTGGTGCATACGGATGCACAGCATAATTTGCCAGGAAAATCTATGTTCCCTGTAGATTTTGGACCAGCTTGTTTTTTCCCTTTCTCCTCTTTGTTTATTTGCATAGGCAAGACCAGGGACAGTCATGCATCCTTCTCTCTGCTTTGTCCCCACCTCATCTATACATACACACACACACACCATTCTGAATCTCTCTATATTAAAATCCCACTTTATAATTCCTCTCCATCTTTCTGTTTTCTTTAGCTCTCTCTCCTGAATCCTGATCCCTTCTGTTTCCCATTTCGTCTTTTTTCTGAACATCTTGCTTTTCACAAGATTTCCCATACCTCTTCATCTGTTCACTCCTTCAAAACCACTGAGATTAGAACAGTTCAGTTCTGGGGTTTGGCCGTTTGGTTAGGGAAGCCATACATACATAGCTGCATTTCTTCTTTGGGTTACTCCCAGTGACTGCATCAATCTTCAATAGCCTGTTTCATGCTGTTTTCTGATCACTGAAATTCATTGTAAGCTCTTCAAGTTCTTTCTTTTTGCACCAGAGAAAATAAAAAATCTGTTTTCAAAGTCTATTCTTTTCTTTTTCATTTTTAAAGATAATAAGTTTGGATTTCACTGCAATTTCTTATTTCTATACAGGGGGAGTGATTTGATGGGAGTGTAAATTTATTGAGATAAATAGATATCTACTTTTTTATTGTTAGGAAAAAGTTTTTGTTTTTATTATAATTTATAATTCCTTTTTTGGTTTATTGATCTGTTTTCATCCTTTTCATTTGTCTTATTTGAATTTCTTTGGCTTTTCTTCAACTTTTATTTCATGTCAACATTGATGAAATTGCCCTAGGTATATTATACAATAATGCACAAGCTTTTGAAATATTGTTAAACTTTATGTGAAAAAACATTACTCTTTAATGAAAATGTCAATTTTATTAATTACCTCAAATTTCTGTGTTTGTGATTCTTTTCCTGGCTAGTCTTAAGCATCAGACATGTGTTTTAGTGTAAATAGTTTGGTGATTTTAAAGATTTATGGCATTCAAATTCTTGGGTATTAATCAGGAAATTGTTGTGTTATTAGGTGGGATGATTCTGAATTTAATTTTAATGGGATCAAGAAAATATATGTTTTAGTTAAAGTTTTTGTCTTTTGTGATTAGTCTTTATTTGCATTGCTGATGAGTTCATGATCCTTAATCTGACTTATAGTATGGATTTAGTATTGATCTCCCTCCCTCGGGTAGTGGCTCCAGGTTTCCTTATAAGAGTACTAAATCTGTTGAGATTCTTGCTGGTTTTCGCAAGATCAACAACGGTTTTGCTGAACATGAATCGACGATTTCCATTAACATATTCATCTTGTGACGTTTTTGCACCTTTCAGGGAGGATTGAATTTGTGGATGAAATGAAACAACACTTTAAGGAAATGGAACAGGAGACAATTCTACCAGGAACTTCATCGTCGTCTTTCTTAAATAGTGAATTTTGTGATCCTGCTTGGTCATTTGGTTCAGAAATCAGCAATATTTCTAGCTTTATGAGTCCCGATATCCTTCCATGTCTAGATGTTGAAGATCTTATCAATGGAAATCTTCTTATGGATGTCATTCAATCGTTTGATTCGTTTCCAGTAGCTACCTCATCCCCGGTGGATGATCTAATTATGAATGTAAGCATGGGAAATAAAACCGGTTTTGACTGCTATCCAAGTGATCATCTGTTGCAGCAGCAGTCCCCCCTCGGGTCTGATAATTTCTTCAACATGTCCCAACCTTCTGGTAGATGGAGTTCTGAAGCTTCATATGAAACTTCATCCCGGGAAAATCTTGCATCTGGTATGATTGCTCAGGGTTCTTCTTTCGCCCCGCATTTTGAGCATTTCACTTATAGTACTCAAACTGCAGCAGAGAGGTTGGTTATGGAACAGTTTATGTTCAATTCTGGTGGTGATCCTTCTGTATCGACAGAGAGTTCCATAACCAATGCCTTCAACTCCCATCAGAACGAGAAATGTTCAAAAACGCCTTTCGTCAATAACTTGTCCAATGATTTCGAGTGTAAAATGCCAGAGAAGTGGGATAACAATCTTCGGTCAATAACAAGTAGTCAGAACTGGGATTATGGTACTTCTAGTTCAGGATGCACCTCGGAGCACTCAGTTCGCTCCAAAAGGCCATCTAACACGTTATTCTCGAATTTAGGCCTAGACCAGCTTTTATATGGAACTGCTAGAAGTTCTTGTTCATTTGACCGACCAGGTCTCAATAATCAGTCGTCATCAACGTCTAAAAGGAGGAGATTCGAAAGTTTTTCCCCGAGTAGTAATACAATGAAGCCTTCAGATCTTTATAGTCTGGACGGGCTTCAAACCAGTATAGAGACTGCTACAAAGTTCAATACAGGATCATGGGTAGGCGATAGTTGCAGTATAAACGTTGGAAACCCCGATTTACAGGCAAAGGGGCATGAAAAACCCTCAAAAGCTATCAAGAAAAAGGGAAAACCGGGATCCCGACCTATTCCAAAAGATCGTTTGCAGACCTATGCACGTCTTGCAGAGCTCAGAGAACTCATCCCTAACGGAGAGAAGGTATATATCTTAAAACGTCATGTTCTAAGGAATTTCCTATATATGTTCTTATTTCGATGAAAAAAAAGGAAAGAGCCTTTAAAACTTACGACTTTTTTGAATGGTATACAGATGAGCATTGACCGGTTGCTACATCGAACCATAAAGCAGCTGCATTTCTTGCAAAGTGTTACAAAACATGCTAAAAGACTCGTGAAAACTGAAGAACTTAAGGTAAAATTTTCATAGGTTTCAACGATTTATTGACATAATGCTCTTTTAGGTGGTATTTAACTATTTATCGTGTATTAACTGGCATACTAATTTGGCCTTCAGGATAGAAAGGATCAGAATGGAGTCACGTGGGCTTGTGAAATTGAAAACGAAACAATGATTTGCCCGCTGATAGTTGAGGATCTTAGTACTCCTGGCCAAATGCTTATAGAGGTGAGTTTCCATTCCTTTTTAGATTACCAAACAAATCCTTATTCTCAGATTGCGAAATGCTTATCATATGTTGTTGTTTCAGATCCTCTGTCAAGAACAAGGTTTCTTTCTGGAGATAGTGGATATAATCCGAGGTTTTGGCTTGAATATACTGACGGGTTTCATGGAAGTTCACGAGGCTAAGATATGTGCACACTACATTGTTGAGGCTGAGGTAAAGAACACACTAAAATACTGGCAGATGTTAAAAACTTAAAATCTAGTCCCTTTGAGCTGTTGTCACTTAAATTGTTCCAACGACGTTGATGCAGGCAAACAGATTCGTATCGAGGCACGAGATATTTTCCTCGCTCGTTCAGATTTTACAGCTTACGGGCCCTAGCGAGTTTAGCCCGAATGATCAACATGGCAATGTTAGCTTGTTGAACAATTCTCCCCAACCTGCCAGCTTGCCTGATAGAACTCCATGTATGACATGACAGAAAATGTTTGCCTGATAAAACATGAAACCTAGTCAGACCAGGAAAGTGGATAATGCAGAGGTGAAATGTTCCTGTTTTGCTTTTCCTGAAAATGGTGAGCACATGATGCCAGAACTGTGCATTCTCTTTGACTACCAATGGTTTTTTTTTTTTTGAGGCTCTTCAGCTGTTCATCTGCAACTTGTCCCCAAGTGATGGAAGAAGTGGAGTATAAATTGTTGCTTGATTTTGCAATTACCATGAAACTAGCATTCTTCATATAGTGTGCTACTAACTTAAGTACTTAACCATGTCCAAGAAAGATGAATATTTTAACACTATTTTGATTTACAAAAAGTCCGAAGTCACTACTCACAACCCAATGTACATTTTGAGTAAAACTCATATTCTAGTCGGCATAATAATACTATAAGGAGGTAAACCAATCTAAGTTGTGTATAGCTAATCAGCTGAAACTCGGAAAGTCAATAAACAATTTGAATAGAGAGTTAAACTTATTGAAACATTGTGGTTAACATAATATTTGTAATTCATATTATAATCTTACATATAATAAAGCTATATGGTTGAAAAATAATTAATGTTACAATTAATTACCAACATTATTATTATTACTAGCTATAAATATAAAATAGCCACAACATCTTTTACTATAAAAAAAAAAAAATAGCTAATTTTTTACTCACTCATAACAAAGGATTACATACATTTATTGAATTAATGGAGTTATTAAATGTTATGATATTAGGATTAAGGATTTCGATTCCCGATTAATAGAAAATATGAAAAGATGCAATATTAATTAAATCTCTGGCTTTACAATGAAAGTCTGTTTGATATGCTTTTGTTATTTATGGTGGTTCTTGGGATTACAATATTAATTAAAATTTTGATGAAAACCTATTCGATATCTGAAACACTGCAATTAATGCAAGCCTCTACATATAATTTTTCTCCCTCTCAAATGCTTCAAAGAAATGACAGAAGCGAGAAGGGATGAAGAAAGCAAATGTTGCGGGCCGTGGGTCAATTATTGGACTTCAGAATAAAAAAAAAAAAATCATTTAAGCCATAAATAAAAATTTAAATATATATAAATGTATATATCATATGGGTCTTTAATGTTTCTCTGGATGTCTAAACTTAGGACTTTTAAAAGGAAAAAAATACATTTGAATTATCTCCACAAAAAGTGGTCTTGGACTTATAAAATGACATATGAGTTTATGGAATAACATGTGCATAAAAAATATATTATATAATCATATAAAAAAATATATGTTCATTTTCAAAAAAAAAAAAAAATATATGTTCAATTAGAGTTTAAATTTAGTCATACAAAATTTGAAATTTGCTTTCTAAATGTAATTATCTTAGTTATTATTTGTATTGTGAGAATTATAATATAGATGAAATACAATTAAGAATAAATCAATGTAATTATGTACATAATTAGAGATTATATTAACCATACAAAATTTTAATTATAATTTTGTATTCTATAAAAATAATAAATACTTGACCAATGGAAGCTCAAAAATATTATTATATTAAATAATTTAAAATATTTTTTTTTTATTTTTTTATTTTTATTTATAATAACATAATTTTTTTCCCGTGCATCGCGCGGGTGAATTACTAGTTGTATCTATAATACTTAAGATAGTATTAATACCAATATGTGATATTTTAAAATATTGGAAATGAAAATTTCATAAATAAAATTGAAATTTTCATATGGTGTGTCATTGTTAATTTATTTGACATAATTTATGGATAGACTTTTTTTAGGAATTTTAAAATATTATAGATAATTTCTAGAATTTTATGTTAAAATAAATTTTGTATCAAGTTATAATGCATACTTTGTAACATATATATTTACAATTAATTGTCCAAATTTTGTGGTCAAGTGACATTGACCATTTTAAGTTTGAGCCACAAATTTAAGGATTCATCGCCGCTTCAATCGTGAAGGTAGGTAGATGAGGTAAATCGTAAGATTACATATATATCCACAACAAAGCCAAACCCATACCAAATATATTTACAATTAAAATAATTTATAAAATAAATAATTATCGTTAAGATCAAGGTTGCAAAATACGACACACACACACACACACACACACACACACACACACTATTACACATGACTCTAGAATTGCAAAAAAATAATAAATAAAATTAAAAAAAAAACGATCGAGTTAGCGCCGAGTCAGTCGAGTTAGGCGCCTAAATGGAAACTCGCCACGGTCAGGTGATGTCTAGGGGCGATTTTTACAACAGTGATTAAGATAGATATGACAAATTTTACTGTGTGGACCATGGTAAAAAACGGTGCCGTTTCTTTTAATGAAAAGAAACGGCACCCGTTCTGTCCAACTAATTCTATTTTCATGACATACTCAACTTCATCTTTTATACATTGTAGTTTCATTTCAGTACAACTAAACATCATTTTGTTTCAACAACAATTTTATTTGACATTATACCCTCAATACGTGAGACATTTTATTCAGTTTCATTTTATACATACTGTAGTTTCATTACAACACAACAAAAGTATCATTTTAATTCAACTACAATTTCATTTGACAATATACACTCAATATGTGAGACCTGTTATTAAGTTTCATTTTAGATACATTATGGTTTCATTACAACACAACTAAAGTATCATTTTAATTCAAGTACATTTTCATTTGACAATATACACTTAATATGTGAGACATGTTATTCAGTTTCATTTTAGATACATTATAGTTTCATTTTATTTTGAGAACATTATAAATACGGGATTAGTTAAATATAACGACTGTTGTTTCTTTACTTCAAGAAACGACGTCATTTTTGGACCATGGTCCACTATATAACAATTGGATAGATATTCTACTAACATTGTAACTAGGGATGACAATTCCTATCAATCCGAATCCATCCCACATTTTTTTTTTTGGTTACAAAAGGAGGGTGTAAGCCCGTTGAAGAGACAAGGAAAAGAGCGCAGCTTATCTCCGCGAGGTAGTCCCACGGGTCGCGCAGGCACCAACCCTATCTTTCCAGATTAAGTCGTCTAGACACCCTGGTTGGGCGTCCAAGACTCGTGTCCCCAACCCATGGTCCAACGCTATCGACGCGAGCTTGTCCGCAACTCGATTTCGATCCCGTACCACGTGGCTAAGCTCCACCTCTCGAAAGGCACTTAAGTCTCTCACGCATAACTTCACAATATTGCTCCCCTTACCAGTCTTGATACAAGCCTTAATGTTGTTCAACGTCACTTTCCACCACCACTTTCTCAGCATGGCAACCGGCTGCCATCCGTATTCCCACAAGAACCGCCCAAGCTTCCGCTCCTTCCACCGTGCATGAGCCAATATTATGTGTGACACCGTGAATCCATCGCCCTGTGTGATCTCGCAAGACTCCTCCACATCCTGTGTTCTGGGACGCGCCCTTACAGCAGTCATCAACGTTCAGCTTCCACCATCCTAGCAGTGGCTTCGTCCAAGCAGCGACTTCTGCTGCACTCCGAATGCCAGCCTTAGGCGACCATCGTGACTCAAAGGCGGCTTTAATCTGATGTTGTTGGGTCCGGATCCAAGCCGTCTTTTGTGCAATACTCATGTGGACATCTTCAAAAATCCTCGCGTTCCTCCATTTCCAGCACCATCACAAGCTTATCCCAAACACCTCTGGCCATCCTTCTTCGAATCCCAGTCGTGGGTCTGCATTTAGGTTGATAGATAGCCACGACTCCCAGTCCTTCATTCGTAGCAGCCTCATCGTTCGAATAGGTACCAACGCCTCCCACAGCCCCGCTACCTCGACGCATGACCTGAGAATGTGATCAAGATCTTCCTGCATACCTGCACAAGACGCACAGTTCAAATCAGTTGTGAATCCCCGCTTGACGCGCTCAAGATTAGTCATAAGCTTGAGTTTTTTTTCCCACATTGATTGATTTTTTTTATTTTTATTTTTGGTGAGAGCGGTTGGTGGGTCTTAAAAAATTACTTGTAGTGGGTTGCGTTGTTTGCATCTTGTGGGGCTAGTGTGAGTTTCGAAAGGCTCCACCCATCACGAGTCGGGATGGGTGAAAAAAAAGTAGGTGAGTCAAGTGACGTATCTAGTCCTTACCAACACACTTTTGACTCATTGGCATCCCTAATTATATCTAGACGCAAAAAAGTGAAGTAAATTGAGCTGACTCGATCCACTACAGTACCGGTCCACATTGGTCATGGGCTAGGACATCTTTTAATCCAAAGATTATAGTGGTCTAGGTTAGCCTAACTCGCATAAAAACGATAAATTATTGTGTGGACCATGGTACACATAGTTCTATGGACCATGAATATAAAATACATTTTTAATATACTAAAAGTACATTATTTTTGTATTAAAAATACATTATTTAATAGTATATAAAATAATATACTTTCAGTACTCAAATAATGTACTTTCAAACAATGTACTTTATGTACATAAATAATATACGAGTGAATTCCATTTTTAATCCTACTGTTATAGGGGCGTTTCCAATTTTAGTCCACCTTAATTTTTTTTTGCCACTTTATAACCACTATTATTGAATGTGTTCCACTTTTAGTCCCACTGTTAGTATTTCCATCAAGAGGCGTGTAATCTAGGGGTATTTTGACCTTTCTTCTCATCCAAGACTATGTTTGACTAAAGAAATGAGAACATTAAACCTAAAACCTAAGAAACCTCGCCGGCCCATGTTGGAACGAACGAAACGATGTAGCTTTGGCTTCCCATTCTCGTTGTTCGAAGAGCCATCTTCGAATATCGGAGGAGGAGGACGAAGCGCCTGGATTAAAAGAGAAGAGACAAACATAAAAAGACCAAAATACCCTTTGATTATACGGCCTCTTGACGAAAATATTAACGGTGGACTAAAAGTGGAACACATTTAATAACAGTGGTTGTAAAGTGGCAAAAAAAATTAAAGTGGACTGAAATTGGAAACGCCCCTATAACAGTAAGACCAAAAATGGAATTCACTCATAATATAATTTTAGTATATTAAAAATATACTTTTTATTTATGGTCACAGACAATGGTCCATGCAATAATGTTTGCATAAAAACTATATGCAGCCCAATATAATTCATTAGCCAAGAAAGGTTGTTCCAATTCATTATTATACTTTTGTTTATTTTATTAGGTATTTTAGTTTATTGACTTATTTTATTATTAGGTTGCTACTTATTATTATAATTTGGCCATCGATTAGTTCAAGTCTATCAAGATAGTTGCATAATAACCTTAGGTAATTTGTACGCAAGAATAATAAGATATACGGAATAGATAAGTAAACGAAAAGGAGAAGTCAAATGTAAGAACTTTGAAAAGCTACTTTTATTTTTTGGATCATATCAAAATGGAGGGGAGAACACCCCAGATCTGAAGAGAGGTTCCTTACAATAGCATGTCTTGCCCAGCAACAACCAAGCTTGACATATTACATGAACCCTTCCCTCCATCCAATCACCGTTGTGATCCCAAAGCACACCACCCTATCCTGCTCCCTCGTCGTGAAGAGTATTGAGAATATGAAGGAAGATAGATGAATTGTATTATTGAAGCAAAAACCATCATTTATACAGTGCATACAGAGCATGATAGTGGCAACCCATGATCTTAGGAAAAGGAAAAAAAATCATAGACTAAAACAAAATACACATGAATAGAAGGAATAAAGCTAACTAATATTATTCCTTAATACGTCCTCGCAAGATGGAGGATCCATCGGATACACCCAGCTTGCATCTAAATTTTTCAAAGGAAGCGCGACCCAAAGCCATGGTTAAGACATCTGCAATTTGATCACCGGTGCGAATATGTTGGACCCGCAAAGAGCCATCAGAAACACGATCACGGACAAAAAAATAATCAAGGGCTAAGTGCTTCATTCGAGAGTGGTAAACTGGATTCTTGCAGACATATGTTGCACTCATATTGTCACAAAATATCAATGGGGATTGAGGCAAACGTATTCCCAGGTCAAGAAACAAGTTCTGCAACCAAACAACCTCTGCAGCAGTATTAGTTAAGGCCCTGTATTCTGCTTCTGTAGACGATCGAGCAATTTCCTTTTGACGAACTGATTTCCAAGACACAACATTTGAACCCAGGTACACAACATAACCAGTAGTTGAGCGACCACTATCACGAATACCACCCCAATACGAGTCAGAAAACGCGGTTAAAGATAGAGCTGAGCCTTTCCGCAAGAATAAGCCATGACACAAGGTTCCTTTGAGATAACGTAACACACGCTTGACAGCTTGCCAATGGTGCATTGTTGGAGAATGCATGAACTGACTCAACCGATTCACAATGAAACTAATATCAAGACGTGTAAAAGATACATATTGCAATGAGCCAAAAACACGCCGGTACGCTGTAGCATCTATTGAGGACGAATCCACACCCGACGACCGGTTTGCCCAAGTTGACTCCGGTGTATGCATAACCTTAGCCTCATCCATGTGATATTGCTTCAAGATATTGATGATGTACTGAGCTTGAGATAGGAAGAGCCCAGTTGCGGTAGGCAGTACCTCCACGCCTAGAAAATGATGTAACGGGCCAAGATCTTTGATAGAGAATCGTTGATCCAGCCAGTGAACAAAAAAATCAAGAAACTGTGAATTATTTCCTGTTAAGACCACATCATCAACATAAACCATGAAGTATGCCAAAACACTGGTAGACTGATAAATAAATAGTGAGTAATCAGCCTTTGATTTTCGAAAACCAGATTCAATAAAAAAACCTGATAACTCCAAGTACCATGCTCGCGGAGCCTGTTTTAGACCATATAACGCATTTTTTAAACGACATACATATGATGGGTGTTGTGGATCAACATATCCAGGAGGTTGGGTCATGTAAACCTCTCATGCAAAGATCCATGTAGGAATGCGTTATTAACATCCAATTGTCGTAAAGGCCAATTAAAACACAAAGCTAGAGAAAGAACCACACAAATAGTGGCAGGTTTAGTCACTGGACTAAAAGTATCAAAAAAATCTTTTCCAGATTCCTGAAAATACCCCTTTTCCACAAGTCGGGCTTTAAAACGATCCACTGTACCATCTGGATTTTGTTCACTAACTGGATTTTGTGCTAGTGCAAGATCATCGGCAATTGAACTCATGTCTTGTAGATAATCGGCAACTGACCTGCTGCCTTTGGGATTTTTCGCTAGTTTAGCTTTGAGCGACACTATTTGTGAACGGGAAGCGCTAGCAAAACTGGAGTTCAATCGCTTCCATGCATCATACGATGTGGATGCAGAAGATAGTAGGGGCTGAATTATATCGGAGCAGCTGCCTAAGATGGCACTGATTAATATTTGGTTTTGGCTAAACCACGTCGTATAGAGTGGATTAGTAACTTTGCATTCTGTATCAAGGAATTGGGCTGGTACAGTGAGTGTATCATCCATATATCCAACCAAATCTAGTCCAGTGAGAGTAGTTGTAATCTGTTTACTCCAAATAGCAAAATTGGATGCGGTTAATTTAATGGGGAAGTGGGTAGGTGCACTCAATTGAACAATTGAAGTTTCAGCAGTAATTGATGTCATTGTAATGACTGGATGGAAGGGAAAAAAAAATTACTCCTTAGAGATTTCTGGCTCTTGATGCCATGAAGAGTATTGAGAATATGAAGGGAGATAGATGAATTGTATTATTGAAGCAAAAGCCATCTATTTATACAGTGCATACAGAGCATGGTAGTGGCAATCCATGATCTTAGGAAAAGGAAAAACAATCATAGACTAAACAAAAATACACAGGAATAGAAGGAATAAAGCTAACTAATATTATTCCTTAATACGTCGTCCATTGCGTGTTGCCATCAACATTCATATCAAACAAATTAAAGGGTGTTCTGGTCTGGCCTTTGATCTGCCATCTAACATAGCTAGCTAGCTTACGGCATTTTCAGTGTGAGCCATTATGATCCCGGTAGCCCCCTACGATTGGAAAGCTTTAATAAGATCCCTCCATCTTCTGTTGTAGAATCCAATCCAATTTCATGCTCCACAGTTTGGAAGATATAATCATTTGGCCAGGCCGGCTATCTCCAAGCCCACCAACACATCACAGAAAAAATCACTGGCCAATCCTCTCCATGTGACGTCCGGCCGGTTTTCCTTGCTATATATGTTGGAGTCAAGCTAAGCCACGTACTGTTTGAAACTCAAGGCCTCACATCTTTGAATTTCGCTTGGGCTAATCATATTAGGTTGTTCCAAATTTGCTTAATGCTTGGGCACGTACTGTCATAGGAGATCAGATGCTCCGATCCACTGCCTCTGATTTGTCAATGCAATTAATATGGGCAGTTAGTTACGTGTTCCATCATCATCAATAGGTGCAGTGTCTCCTCTCTTTCTGCATGTGTTACAATTAAGCTTTTTTGGTTTTATTGACCACCGGAGTAGTTAAACGGCAAGCTAACACAATCAGAAATACGAGACAATGACTTCCAGAAAAGAATTCTCTCTATTGCTCTATGTATGCGTGTAAAGCTTAAGCTTTTCCAAGGTGTCCAAGGCATATTTATACAAGAACTAAAGGACCTAAACTAGGCAACTCTTTCCTGCCATAAATACAATCGATCTTCCTTCCTAAATACAATTGATCTTCTTTCCATATAACCTCCGTGTTTCCCACCGCCTTCCCTGAGATCCGCTCCTCAAATCTCTTCTAGATTTCGTCATATCTCTTGCGTTTGTTTGAGTCCTCTTTGGAGTCGGCAAATCCTCCCTTTGGCTGACTGAATCGCCTAGTCGTCCCCGCTCATCCACATTCCTGAGTACGACTTCATGAATCACTCGACCTCCTACCATTCATCCTGCGAATCTCTACTTACTCAGCACTCCACTCAAGTATTCGCCCTTGGGTTCTGTTACTCGGCCACTCCTCCGACTACTGGCGCATCTCGTCCGATTACCGGCTAGTTATCCCGACCATCATATCGATTGCTCACGAGATCCATCCGGCCACCTGACTAGCTGAACCCTTATCCCACCCAGTTGTTTGACAGGCTGGCTAAAGGTCTCGTCTGTCCACCCGAATGACTCCGTGCAGCTCCCGTCCGACTCCCCCGCTGATTGTCTAAAGGGCTCATCCGGATCCCCGGCTGACTAAGTCGGCCATTCTCCTTCCCGTCTGACTGGATTGAGCATTCAACGACTAGGCTGAGCGGCTTCATCACTCTGTCCTCGCCGAATGCCTACCTTCAACCCCTGCTGGCGCCCCCACCTTGTGCCTTTAACCGACTAGGAAGCATTCCGACCGGTATTTCACCTTTCGCACTCGGCCTACCGACCGACTCCACGTCTTATCTGTTGCCTAATCCAACTGGGTGTATGTCCATTTCCCATCCCATAAAAGCTAGTATCTCATGTCAAGAAAGCCACAAGAATATAATGCCCTCATTTTGTTAGGCACCTTAAGCTTCCATGTCCTTCCCCATAAGCTATCCTGCAAGTCACAATTAGCAAGTTCATATGCAGACTTAACTGAGAACTGCATAGTGTACTTACATGTGCCTGCCATTATAACTTCACTGTTGGAAACTAGCTGATTTCCGACCACTCAAGAGTGGTCGGAAACAGCCTAAATTGGGTCGGAAACACCGTTTCTGACCACTTTTCCGACCAAAATAGGTATTCGGAAAAGGCCTCGTCGCTAACGACATTTTTATAGTCGTCGGACACAAACGAAGAGTCCGACAATTGGACGGATCCAGATTTCTGACCTCCTGGTGGTCGAATATTCCGACGACCCAGTAGTCGGAAATCTGGATCCAAGAATGTTCTTGTTCCATATTTCCGACCATGGGTGGTTGGAAATTAATAAATAAATATTTTTTATAATTATAATTTATATTATTACTGTCCTACAAATTATCCACTGCTTTAACAATTTTTAAAACTAATAATTTCATAACACAAATAGTATACATTTCAATAGCAAATTTAATTACACATAAGGTTGCAATTCTAATATCCACCTTCAAAAAACTAGTTTCTAATTCTAAAATGCTAATACAATGAAAATATTTCCTACATCACAAAAGGTTAGAATCTTAGATCTATTGCTCAAGATCATCTAATCCAACACCACTACTTTCATGGCTACCGGTTGGATCAGTACATTGTTCCAACGGTTGAATTGCACCACTACATGAAACAAATTGAGCTTCCAAACAAGCCAATTTTTCCTTCATCTACTTGTTCTCTTCCTTTAGTTGATTAGAGATGTCAATTCATTCAGTTACAATAGAATAGGGAATACAAAGTATATTTGTAGTGTAACTCTAACTAACCTTGAGTAATAGTCTATACAAATTCAGCAATTCTAAGACCACACAAATACAAGCATGGAATATAAAATAATGTGACAATAATAATAATAATAATAATAATAATAATAATAATAATAATAATAATAATAATAATAATAATAATAACAATAATAACAATAATAACAATAGTAACAATAGTAACAATAGTAACAATAGTAACAATAATAATAATAATAATAATAATAATAATAATAATAATAATAATAATAATAATAATAATAATAATAATAATAATAATAATAATAATAATAATAATAGCACACCCTCTCAAGCACAAGGTTGGGGAGTGACAACATTGAGCTTGTCCCGTAGAGCAGCAAACCGTGGAGCTGGCAACGGTTTGGTGAAGATGTCTGCCAGCTGATCTGTAGTGGAAACATAGTTGACAACAAAATCTCCGGAGGCCACCTTGTCACGGACGAAGTGGTAATCAATTTCAACGTGTTTGGTGCGGGCATGAAACACAGGATTGTCACAGAGATAGGTAGCCCCGAGATTATCACACCATAACGTCGCTAGATGACCGAGTGTAACCCCAGTACACGAAGTAAATAAACAACCCAAGTTACCTCAGCGGACACATCAGCCAGGGCCTTGTACTCTGCCTCAGTGGACGAGCGTGCTACAGTGCATTGCTTCTTGGAGAGCCAAGATATGAGATTAGACCCTAGGTAAACAGCAAACCCACTCATACTCTTCCTATCAATAGGACAACCAGCCCAGTCGGAGTCGGAGAAGGCATGAATGGTGGTAGAGGAGGACGGTGATAGACGTAGGCCGTAGTTTAGTGTCCCTTTGATGTAGCGCAGAACTCGTTTGACGAGGGCCCAGTGGTCAGTAGTCGGTGAGTGCATGAATTGGCACAAGCGATTGACCGCATAAGACAAATCCGGTCGCGTGATAGTCACATACTACAAGGCTCCTACCACACGATGGTATTGTGTTGGATTCTCAAACATCTGATTGGAAGGGCAGACCGCCTTAGTGACTGCCGCTGGTGTAGAAAGAGGTTTATAATCCATCATACCGGAACGCCCAAGTAGGCCAGACATGTATCGGCGCTGTGAGAGAATTAGGCTATCACCCACCGTGACCGTTTCAATACCTAAGAAGAAGCCTGGTGTGCCCAGATCACGGATTTTAAAAGTAGTGGCAAGACGCTGCAATATTGAGTCAACCAGTGGTGCATTAGTGCCCATAATGATAATGTCATCCACGTAAACCAATAAGAACACACGTGATGTTCCTTCAGTGTAGTGGAAAAGTGAGACATTTGTTTTGGAAGCCTTGAACCCTGTAGAGAGCAAAAATCATGAAGTCTCTTGAACCAGGCTCGTGGAGCCTGTTTCAAGCCATATAGGGAACGTTGTAAATAACAAACATGACCGGGGCTAGCCGGGTCTTCATACCCCGGTGGTTGTTTCATGTACACGGTTTCCGCCAAGTGACCGTTCAGAAAAGCATTGTGAACATCCAATTGGCGCAGTGTCCATCTGTTGGACACAACAAGAGAAAACAACATACGAACTGTGGTTGGTTTGACCACGGGACTGAAGATGTTAAAGAAATCCTCTCCTACTACCTGGTTGAACCCTTTGGCAATGAGACGCACTTTATAGCGTTCTACAGATCCATCAGCATTGCGTTTGGTGCGAAACACCCATTTACACTCAATGATGTTCATATGTAGTTCCGAGGCCACAAACCGCCAAGTGTGATTGTGTGACAATGCATTAAATTCCTGATCCATTGCTTCACGTCAATGAGGGTGTCCCACAGCTTGGGAGTAGCAAGATGGGTCAGTAGTGGCATTTAACGCATAAAAAGGTTCATCCGAGCCTCTAGTCATATGTCGAAGCCGCATGCCATGATCCCTACTCTGAGGTTGAGCTTGAACCGTACGGCTCTTAGCCGGGGCGGTGTGAGCTATGGCCAATTGTGGCGGGGCACTAGCAAGCGGTATGGGCTCGGGCCTGGGATGACACGGCGTTGGCGTTGGCGATATGAGCTCGGGGGCAGGTTGAGCTATTATGGGCCCAACGGCCCATGGCAATGCAGTTGGTGCTGCCTCCGGTCTTGAATATCCTGTTTCAAAGGGAAAGACAGTTTCGTCAAACCGAACATGACGACAGGTATAGGTTCTTCCACTTGTCAAGTCAATGCATCTATATCCCCTAAAGGAGGGTGGGTAACCTAGGAAGACGCACGGTGCCGAGCGGTACTCAATCTTATGCCTATTATAAGGGCGTAGATATGGATAACGCTGGCACCCGAAGACACGAAGAAAAGTGTACGGGGGTGGCATTTTAAATAGGCGAGTGTATGGGTTTTCAAAATTTATGGCTGATGACGGTAGGAAGTTGATTAAACAGGTGGCTGTTTCGAAGGCGTAGTCCCAATATTGTTGGGGAACTTTGCCTTCGGCAGTGGAGCAAGACCGGTTTCGACAATATGTCTATTTCGGTGCTCAACACGCCCGTTTTGTTCATGTGTATAGGCACATGACTGGCGGTGATTTATACCAAGTGTTTGGAACGTGGCGTATAACTTGCGGTATTCACCCCCTAAATCTAACTGAATAGACTTGATAGAGCGTGAGAATTGACGCTCTACCAACGCACGAAACAACTCAAAAACTTTATATATGTCCGATTTTACCCGTAATGGATAAAACCAGCAAAATTTAGAATAATCGTCTACAAATAGCACAAAATAACGAAAACCATTTGTAGACATTACAGGAAAAGGGCCCCACATATCGGTATATAATAAATCTAGTACATTTTCACTAGAATTTGGAACCGTATCTAACTTAAATCTTGATGATTTGCCGAGATGGCAGGCTGTGCACGACTCCAAGGACTCCGTTTTATTTGGCATGACCGGACAGTGTTGTAACACTTTATTTAGGACTTGTTTGTGCGGGTGACCAAGTCTGCGGTGCCACACAGTGGGAGTGGCCTGGGAACTAACGAACGCATGATGTGACCGCGACACCGGGAGTTTGTACAAGTCGCCTGACGTGGGACCCTTAAGAAGAACTGCTTTGGTTGTGGAGTCCCTCACAAGGAAACAGTCATTATGAAATTCGAAAAATACTTTGTTTTCGAAAGTGAATTTATGCACAGATAAAAGGGGAACAGACAGACTTGGGACATGCAAAATATTAGATAACCGTAACGTTTTAGATACAGAAGGGAGTGATGCATGACCGATTCGTGAGATCGCCAAACTTGCGCCGTTGCTAACTCGGAGCACATCGGGACCTGCGTACTCATCCGATTGCTACATCATGCCGACGTCGGGTGTGGCGTGTGCCGTGGCCCCGGTATCTGGATACCACCCGTCGGACGGAATTGCCGTTGACGTCGCCGGAGCTTCACCGGATACGGCCACATGAGCTTGCGTTGGAGGCTGCGTACTATACCTTTTGAAGAAGTAGACGGTCGTGTGTCCGTGAGACCGGCATATCTGACATCTCGAACTCCCACGGCCACCACGACCGCCACGAGCCTGTCCACCACGACCACCACAGCCTCGGTGATTCTGCGACTACCGGCCGCCGTTGCCACCATTCGACCCACGACCCGGTCCTGCGTACATGTCGGTATGAGAGACACCTGAAAATCAACCACCGATGGATAATCATCAACGAGTATGAACTCGTGAGCTTGCAAGAAGTCGGATAAATGCGCAAGCGAGACCAGAGTCCCTGAGGCGATGAGTGATGCGGCCATAGCCTTGAGTTCCAGGCGCAAGCCGCGGAACACATACAAGTTCTGCTCCATGAGAGACAACGGCCGGCCAGCCTGTGCAATGGACTCGACGAGAATTTGTGCTCGGCCTAAATACTCCGCGATGGTGGCATTGCCCTGGCGAAGCATTTGGAACTGCCCCAGGAGGTTAAGGCAGCGAGCCTGGCTGGAAGAACCGAGAGCGTGAGTGATCGACGTCCAGACTTCCGCGGCGGTGTTCTGGCCGACGGCTAAGTGTAACACCTCATCCGACATGGAGGAGATGAGAAGCGAGAGTATAGATTGGTCCTGCTTCTCCCATGCCTTGAACGGCGGATTGGGGATGATCATAGCCGCTGCCGAAGTGGAGGAGGAATCGCCTGAGGAAGGCGCGTCGATAGTCGCCGGAGGGCACGGGAAGCTGCCATCGACATAGCCAAGCAACTCTTGGCCTCGGAGGAATGGAACCAGTTGCGTACGCCAGAACAAAAAGTTCCTGGACGTAATCTTCATCGACACGTAATGGTGCGCCCCGGCTAGAGGATTGGCACCGACCGGCGGTGGGGTTCCGGCGGCGGACACGGTGCGTTCGGATGAATTGGATGACATGGCCGGAGAGGTGACGGTAAGGGAGGATAGATTTGCGGAGGAGATGGTGAGAGAGAATCGATAACCTGACTGATACCAGATTAGAGATGTCAATTCATTCAGTTACAATATAATAGGGAATACAAAGTATATCTGTAGTGTAACTCTAACTAACCCTGCGTAATAGTCTATACTAATTCAGATATTCTAAGACCACACAAATACAAGCATGGAATATAAAATAATGTGACAATAATAATAATAATAATAATAATAATAATAATAATAATAATAATAATAATAATAATAACATAGTTCCTCATAAACTGCATTTGCAGATGATTGTCTAGATTTTGACTTCCTTTGCCTCACAACCTCATGAAAGTAGTGTGTTGTATCTGATTCAAATCCAAAAACATACCCTCCTTTCTTGAGGCCACCGGCTGCCTCGTACCATGCATTTGACTCTCCAAGCTCATGTTGAGTTTGATGTTTTGAGTTGCAACCTCCTATATTGAACAAATAATCAGCACAAATATTTTCTTTGACATTGGGTAGCCTAGCATTTTAATAACTTGCTTGAACCCTCAAATGACACAACACTGGTCATGCATCATCAATGCAGGCTGGTCGTTTATTGCAAAAAAACCAGTTCAGTGTCAAAGAGACTAGCCTTGATAGTAGCCAAATCTAGCAAATTGAAACTTAAAAGAAAATCTATGCGCATCCTGCCAATTTATGTTGCATCACCTCAATTACTAAATTAGAAAAAGTCAAGCAAATGCATACATAAAAAGCTTTAGAGAACATTTAAAATAAAAATAAAAATAAAAATAAAGAAAAGAGTAACAATTATGGCAGTAAAGGTTTTAGCTATTACTAGTATTTGCGCCTGTGCACTGCACGGAATGAATTTGTTATAATATTTTAAAAATATTTAGATCGATATATAATTGTATAAATTATAACATTGAATATTATATAATATAATAGAAGAATTGAGTTGCACTGATTATGTTTTCTAATGTTATCAATGCTTGAATTCGACTAAATAATTGCCCAATTAATAGCTAACGTGTAGATATACACATTCGGTGTTGCAACTTTAGAGATTTTATATATCAATGTTTAGAATTTGTATTAATTGGGCTAATTAGCTCGTTCTCTAGCAACTCAGTTATAGAAATTATTTATACGGAAGATATATTTTCTATGTAGATATATAGCAATTTTGTCATCTTTGTATATAAAAAAACATAATATCAATGGCTTGAATTATACATTATTGAAAATCTTTTTGTAGACGACATTGCTAGTAGTAACGGAATTTTATCCATCCTCGTCTAGAGTTAAAACCATCAGACCATCAGGATGGATGACTCGGGAAAAAGTCACATGCAATTAACCGTGATTAAAGACTGGTTATTTCATTAATAACTCAACATGAGTTAGTGTTTGACCATGACTTTGTTGATAGTCATGGCATATGCGAGCATCAACGTGAATTGTTTTCGTTAGAACTTGAAGGGCAA